GCAAGATGATTAACATTGACAACTTGTAACTCTTCTCCATCTATCATGATGGTGCTTATTAGCCCAGTAGTGAGGATTTTTATTTTCTTAATGTTAAGATGTAACCCAAACTGAAGGCTGTTATCTTTGAAGTTGTTTCCCCCAACCCCTATGATTGGTGCTTTACTGGTTGTTTTAAGGGTCAGTAAAGAGATACACAAATACCATTCTTAACATTCATACCAAAAAATCTAAAATGCCATGGTTAATGCTGCAGTCTTGAATCCTCTGCACAAGCATTTGAAGTTCTCCTCACTTTCAGCAAGCTTTCAGATTGTTGATGAGGTGTCCAGGAAGTTAGCTGGCAGTAATTCTAGGATGTGTTGTCAAAGTACTGATATCCTCTACTTTTGAAAAGTTTGCTTTATATTTCACTTTTACAGAAGACCTACTTCAGTATCTGTTGTGGCTACTGAAAGAAATCTCAAACAAAGTTTCATTTTCACAAAAAAGACAAAAAGCAAAACTGGCATTTAGTGCTTGTTTTACAGTGAGCCATTAGAACCGCAGCAAGAGTGGGGCCGTCAAGCTCCCTCTGTGAGCACTGTGCGCTGCTGCATTGTAGGGGCTGTGTATAGCTTGTGACAATATGGTAGACTATTTTGGGTGATAATTACTTCCTTTGCTTAACACCAGATGGACAAGGTGATGAGGAATGTTCAGCACAGGGCTAGTTTATCCATTCACAAATAGCTCAGAGAGGCGAAGGTGGGAAAATATCAAGTATACAGTCACAGGATTACAGATGATCCATGTGGTAGCTGGTACTGGACAGTGGTTTAAAGTTTCTCAAATGGTCTGTGGTGTTGTTATATGCTGTCAAGTCACCTGCAACTCATAGTGACTCTATGTACAACAGCCCCAAACTCTGCTCTATCCCTTGCCAATCATATGGTCCCTGACACACCCATCCCCATTACCCCAGTCACTGAATCAATCCATCTCATCGATAGTCTTCCTCTCCTGCACTGTCCCTCCACCTTCCCAAGCATGACGTCCCTCTCCAAGGGACTGATCCCTCCTTGAAACATGTCCAGAGTATGTCAGACGAAGTTTCAGAATCCTTGCCTCCAAGGAGCAGCCTGATTTAACCTTCTCCAGGATGAACTTGCTTGTTCTCTTAGCAGTCCGTGGTATATTCAAAACTCTTCTTCAGCACCACAGCTCAAAGGCATCAACTCTCCTTTTATCATTCCTAGTCACTGTACAGCTCTCTGATGCATAGCAAATAATTGTAAAGACCATGTCCTTTATCAGGTGCACCTTGGTCTCCAGAGTCACATCATTGCTCTTCAGTACTTTGGAGAGGTCTCCGACAGCAGACATTCCAAATGCAATTTGTCTTTTAATTTCCTGGCAACTGGTACCAAGAGTGCTGATTGTAGAGCCAAGTAAATGGAAGCTGTCAACAATTCTCAATCTCTTCACCATCCATCATGATGCTGCCATTTGGCCCCTTGGTGAGAATATTTGTTTTCTTGATATTGAGCTTCAATCCATATTGAAGGCTGCACTCTGTGACCTTCTGCAGCAAGTGCTTCAGGTCCTCCTCAGTTTCAGCAAGCAGGGTTGTTTCATCTGCATAATGCAGATTGTTGATGGGTCTACCTCCAATCCTGATGCCCACTTCTCCTCATAGAACCTAGCCTCCTGGATAATCTGTTCCACATATAGATTGAAAAGATATGGAGATAGGACACATCCTTGATGCACATCCTTTCCAATTTTGAACCATGCAGTGTTTCTTTGCTCCGTTCTAATGACTGCCTCTTGGTCCAAGTATAGGTTTCGCATTAGCATGATCAAGTGTTCTGGGATTCCCATTCTTCTCAGAGTCAGCCACAATTTACTGTGATCCACACAGTCAAACGCCTTTGCATAGTCAATGAAACACAGATAGACATTCCTCTAGTACTCTCTGCTTTCGGCTAAGATCCAGCTAACATTAGCTATAACATGCCTAATACCACCGCCTCTTCTAAATGCAGCCTGTTCCGTCGTTTTTGGATAATTTTCAGCAGAATCTTGTTTGCATGTGATATCAATGAAACAGTTCAATAATTTCCACACTCTGTCGAATCACCATTCTTTGGAATGAGAACAAATATAGATCTCTTCCAGTCAGTTGGTCAAGTGGTTGTCCTCCAGATTTCTTGGCACAACTTTGTGAGCACATCCAGGGCAGTGTCCATGCTGAAATATGTCAACCAGTATGTCATAAATTCCTGGAGGCTTGCTTTTTTTCCAATTATTTCACAGCAGCTTGAACTTCCTCCTTTATGTTATAAGCTCTTGCTTATATAACATTGAACTTCCTCCTTCAATGTTATAAGCTCTTGCTTATAAGATTGTTTCATGAAATTCTTCTGTGTCCAACAATTTCTTTTGGTACAATGACTCTGTATACTCTTTCTATCTTGTTTTAATTCTTCCTGGATCATTTAACATTCTGCCCAAAGCATCCTTAAGTATTGGAACTTGAGGCTTGAATTTGTTCTTCAGTTCCTTCAGCTTAAGAAATGCTGAGCGAGTTCTGCCCTTTTGATTTTCTGACTCCAGCTCCTTGCACATTTCATTGTAATACCCTACTCTGTCTTTTCGTCCACACTGGAATCTTCTGTTCAACTCCTCAATATCTTGATTTCTTCCTTTGCTTTGGCTTCCTGGCACTCCAGTGCAATATTTAGTTTCTTCTGATAGCCATCTTGGTCTTTTCTTCCTCCTCTGTCTTTGTAATGACCTTTTCCATTCTTCCTGGATGATATTCTTGTTATCTTCCCACAGCTCATCCAGTCTTCGCGGATTAATTTCTAAGACCTCAAACCTGTTCCTGAGATGGCTTTGAAGTTCATATGGGATAGACTCAAGGTCAAATTTTGGTGCTTGTGGAATTTCTTACATTTTCTTCAGCTTCAGCTTGAATTAGCTCTGTGGTATATTATTATGAAAAATTACCTAATATAGGACAACCAAAACCTGAATAGCTATGAAATGTCATGGGAGGGAGAGAAGAGCTTGAGTTAAGGCAACAGAGATTCATATGGAGCCCTGGTAGCGCACTGGTTGAGCATTCAGCTACTAACGGAAGGCCTGGTGGTTTGGACTTATCAGTTTTTCTGTTAGAGATTGATGCAACAAACAGCTTCTGTAAAGATTCAGACTTGGAAACACTATGAAGGCAACCCTACTCTGTCCTAGAGGACTGCTCGGAGTTAGAATGGACTCAGTAGCACATAAGAGTGACAATTCTTGGTTCTTGTAATACTTAATCACTTTCGGAGCTTTGGAAACATCTTCTGCTCTCTAAAGGAAAGATGTGAATGAGCACCACAATAGCACGCTCCTGACAACATTTGCTTTTTGAGAAACAGGCATTTCAGCTACCAAAAAACCAACAAAATAACTCTGAGAAACTCTGGGTACATTTAAGATGAACAATATATATTATTAAAAGCTACCAAAGCAGTGTCATGAAGGATCAAATGTTATTTCCTTTCCTATCTCAAATATTTATTATCCTGCCTGCCTGCCAATTAATATACACTGAATAAGGACAGCATGCCAGACCACACAGTGTAAGTAAAGCCCATTTTGATTTTTAATAGATTATCAACTCTTCTGGGTAAAAAAAAAACAAAACACAAAACAAAAAAAAAAACCCCAAACACACACACACACACCTTCTTTCCATGCTGTAACTACTTGATGTGGTGCTTTATGCGACACAGAGAATCTCGAACTTCGAAAACATCTGTTCCCCTTTTCATTTATCTCTACTTTGTAAATAAAAGAATTCACACTAACATCAATCTATATTAAAAATATCCCACGTTAAGTAGATACATTACCTCAAAGCAGACGCCTACCACTACTACTGAAACACTCACATTCATGTAATATTTCACAGTACAGACAAGAGTTTTCATATACACTATTTCAACTGATCCCTACAGTAGCAGAGTGAGATGAATAGGATTACACTAGTTCTTTTTCCAAATGAGAAAATAGCTACGATGATACCAAGGCACTTGCCCAAATTCTCCCAGCTAAGTTAATGTCAGAGGTTAAACTGGAATCCAGGTTTGTCTGAATCCAAGGCCAAAGCTATTTCTATTTTACCAAAATATGTCTCAGGAAAAAAAAGGCTAGATTCTTTTTTTCTTTTATTTGTAGCCAATGTATAAATGAAGCAATTACCCCTACTATGCTAAGTAAGTATTAAAATGTTTTCTTCGTGATATAAATCAACTTTTATCAAAACTTTATATTTAAACTGGTCAAATAAGTGTCCCTAAATATCCAAAACTGTGCATGTTATAACTCAGGGATAGAATTCATTTGTAATATTGCTATATCCCACTATATCTCAGGCAGCCAGAGACTCAAGAATGACTTAAGAGAGTAAGAAGGCAGATCTTAGGTCTAAATACAACGTCAGGTCCTTATGACAAAGAGCAATTTACAGTTAAAGACCAAACTGCAATTCAGTTCCCAGAAATTTGGCTGCGATTCTAGACTAGGGCAATTTTGGCCTCAGACTGCTCTTCCTGTATGCAAGGGACTTCTTCAAACCTCATAGTTCAGGCCTTTGTAAATGTACTTATTCACTTCTTTTTTGTGTGTCCAACACAAAAAAGTTAGCCTTCTGTTACTACTATTCATTTTTGTACAATTTCTGGAAGCATTTAGAACTGCTCACGAGTTCATCAATTCTTCTTGACTTGGGATTAGAGCAGGTCAAAGACCAAAGAGATTTCCTTTATTAAGTTTTTTAGGCTCAATTTGAATTTTCTAAGTGAAGTTGAGCCCCTCTGCTTTTCTCCCTAATGGGAAGTGTAAGCTTTTGCTATCCAAGCCTGAATACACATACAATTTTCTTGTGGTCCCCCCATATGGAAACCATAGGGCAGAAATGACTCATAAATGAAACGTGAAAGACAGACGGAAAAAACTCTACTTACTTAGGAGGAATGCGCAAAGCTGTGTTCACATTTGTGACTGGGACCACTGCTTGAAGGATGTGTTCAAGGGCTGTTAATCCACCAGCAACGTGAAATGCAATCTGATCTGCCACATTCTAGACAGAAATACAAATAGAAGTGAGCCCAATTTCCCAGGCATAAAATTATAACCAAATGAAATACACTGCTGTAGTCTGAAACAAGTCTTCTTGTTCAACTAGTCTACAAATATTTATTGAACGCTTGCTCTGTGCTAGGATCTGTAGATCAACAGTAGTGAACATAAAATACATGATTATTATACCTCACAAAGCTTCAAGTCTAGTGGATGAGACCAACATGAATCAAATACAAAAAGGAAAAGGTTTCGACCTTGGCAAGCATCTTAGAGAAAAGTCAAAAGCTGCTTGTTGATTATAATAGTGGAAACTTCAAGACTGGCTTCTCATAAAAAGTTGAGGCCCCAAGAAGGGTGAGAAAGGGGGAACAGAAGTATTTCCAAACAGAGGGAAAAAACATTTCAGAATAATTTAGTCCTCATTTAAAAAGCCAGATCATTTGGTAACCATAATTATCACCTAAACAGGACAAACTGACTTCTACAAAGCATTTTCTCTCCTAGAACTTTGTTCCTTAGCAATACAATCACTCTGTTACACAAAAGTTATATCCTTTTAAAAACTGACTTACATATCCCTGTAGATAGTTTAGAAATAATCTTTTTTTTTCAGAATACCAAATAGGCAAATAAACACAACAGAGCCAACAAACATCCCATGCCTGCCCATTCAGCAAACTGCGAAGGCAGCAAACACTTTTTAGCAAGATTTCAAACAAGCAAGAATGATGGGTCATGTCACACAGCCAGATGACTAAAGAGCAGAGAATAGCCATCAAGCAGCAACAAACCCTTACTGAAGAACAGCAGGCCGACGATGAGACTTTTTAATTGGTATAGATCCCAAAATAGTTCACAGAACTTATATCACCAAACTAATGCATTAACTCAATACATATTTGGAAAGCAGCAGAGCAAAAATCTGCGAGATTAACAAAGTCATCTTTCCATGGGTTTCATTTGTTACATTTCAGAGCTCTTGTACACAACAACATAACTGCAAATTCGGCAATAACCTTACTTTTAATATATAGACTGTAATTACTCATCAGAAGCAAATACTAAAAGAAATCAGAGGCCACAATAGTAGTATCAAATGGAAATTGTGGCATTATTTTCTCCTATATGAAAAAGTAGGAGAAGCCAATTGAGTTAATGTAGTTGTCATTTGATACTGAGCAGTGGTGGCAGGGACCCTGGGCCAGAGCCCTGTGGGGACACACTAAAGGGCAGGGATCATGAGGCCATTCTAGTGAAGGGCTCTGCTATTTACCTTGCTTGCCTTTTATGCAGCAACTCAACAGATTCCATTTGATTTTACCATTTTCTGACAATGCTTAAATTTGCAATATTAAACAAAAATTTCATAAACTGTACCTTCAACAAATAGCAAGTGAAATTTTGTCTTTCATCCCCACCAGGCCCCCAAAACATATGTCCAGAAGCACCCACTGCAGTACACATGAGCTACCTACATGATTAGATGAAGCAGTGGGGAGAAGATCACAACATCTGGGGGGGGGGGCAAAGTCTCCAAATGAAGACTGAAAATGAATAGCCCACAGTTGGAGAAAAGTGTTCTACGAGGAAGAAAAAATAAAAATATAACACACCCCAAAAACCTTGCAATTCTTTTAACCTAAACAAAGATAGCATTTTGCATTGGCCCAATATCAGCTGTAGATTAATCCCTGCAGAAATAGTGTTGAGTTGCACTTGAAGTACATCAAGGAGAGAGGAAAGTCATTAGGTGATCGTCCTCGGGTTTCTGAAGACACCTGTGGTGGCGTGTTCACATTTACTACTGGATCACAAATGCAAGGACAAGGTGACACAGATGTGAAACAGTCCCCTAGATGCAACATCCCAACAGGTCTCCAGTCGCCCATGTTCCACCCGTCTGCTGCTGGGACACATTGATTGTGTCTTCATCCTCCATCTCCAGCTGTGCTGGAGTGTCTGCTTCATTAACTAGCTGCCCATCAAACCTGAATCTAATCTGTCTCATTGACAAGCCCTGTCGCTCACAGTAGGCCTTCATCAGCTTGCTCAGAGGTGTGTGCCTCTTGATTTTGAACTGGACGACAGAGCCATCCTGCCCAGCCACCTTCAGGTTGATATGGTCATTCCCTGTCTTCACTCCCTCCTTGGGCTTCTCTTCAGACATGGCTGTGCAGGCGGAGGCAGCAAAGGCTGGGGCAGTGCCGGAGCGGGCGAGTCATGCTCTCAGCCCTGCCGCTCTCCCGCCACAACTGCTCGCGGGGCAGTGCCAGAAATAATCTTAAAGAGCCACCTTAGAACGCAAACTATGGAGATTCCTATATAATTCTGAGTGTACACAAGTTTTGGAGGAAAGAACCCTCCAAATCCTCTGCAGTCATCTAGCATGGGAAGTTAAAGGGATCTAAATTACAATGTATTAATTTTTTTCCATTTTACTCTGATTTATTTACAAACTTTGAATACACTTTTTCACAAATGATCCTTCCTATTTCCTTCACTAGACCCACCCATCAAATTGTGCATCTATGATTAACAGCCCCCCATCCTCACCCCTCTATTTCCACCCTCACCTGGCCCTGGATCCTCATACTCATTCTACAATAATGGTTTTATACAGTTTTTGTCCTTGTGGGACTGAGTTAGTTCACTCAGTATAATGCTCTCCAGTCCCTCCCAAGTTAGACAGTAACTTTCAAATCATCACCCATGCTGTCTGAGTAATCTTCCATTGTATGAATGTAGTACAACTTCTCAATCCATCTGTTATTGGTTGGACATCTGGGCTGTTTCCATGCTCTTGTGATGGTGAATAATGCTGCTATGAACATTGATGTACAAGTTTCTGTTTGAGCATCCGTTCTCATTTTCTTGGGGTATATTCCAAGCAATCAAATAGCTGGGTCACATGGAATTTCAATGTTTAGCTTTTTGAGGAAGCGCCAAACTGCCTTCCAGAGTGGTTATACCACTGTACAATCTCACCAACAATATAAAAGAGTTCCTATCTCATCACATCTCTCCAAAATTTGTTTCTTGCTGCCCTGTTAAACTTTGCCACTGTTAACTGGAGTGAGATGGCATCTCACTGTGGCTTTGATTGCATCTCTCTTATTGCCAGTGATTTGGAGCATTTCTTCATATGTCTGTTGGCCATTTGAATATCTTCCTCTGTGAAAATCCTTTCCATGTCTTTTGCTAATTCTGTAATTAGGTTATCAGACTTTTTCTTGTGGAGGCCCAGGAGTATTCTATGAACTTTGATTATGAGACATTTGTCTGAGATGGTATTGTCAAATGTTTGTTCCCAGTCAACAGGTTTTCTATTCACCCTGTTGGGAAAAGTTTTTGATAAACACAGGGATTTAATCTTTATAAGGTTCCTTTCACCAATTTTATCCTCTTCAGATTGTACATTTCTGGCTGTATTTGTCAATCTCTTTATACCATAGACCATGGCTTCTAAGCTTGATCCCAGTTTGTCTGTTATGAACTTTATGGTTTGGGGCTTTACTCGCTAGTCTCTCATCCACCTGGGGGTGACTTTTGTGTCTAGTGTGAGATGTAGATCCTGTTTCAGCTTTCTGCAGGTAGCAGTCCAGTTGTGCCAGCTTATTTGTTGAAGAGGTTGTCATTTCCCATTTGATAGGTTTTATTTCTTTACTGAGTATCAGCTGACCATAGATAATTGGGTGTATTTTTGGGTTCTCAATTCTGTTCCAGGGATCTATGTGCCTGTCACTGTACCAGTACCATGTTGTTTTAGTTACTACCGCTGTGTAGTAGGTTTTGAGGTCAGGAAGTGCTATTCCTGCCACTTCATTTTTGTTTCTCAGAAGTGTTTTGCTTATTCGAGATCTCTTGTCTCTCCAAATAAACACGATTTCCCTTCTGATCTCCTTGAAAAATGAATTTAGTATCTGTAAATTCTGAACCACTGCATCACCCATCACAAAAATAATATGAAACTTATTTAGGAAAAACAGTAACCCCTCCATTACAATACCAACTAGCTGCTCCAAGGAGCAATATGGGCAATCTCCTCTCTTGCGATTTACAGATTCTAAAAACTTGCTGGGAGGGCAGCTATGTGTTAGTTCCTCCTTGACAGCACAGAACCATCACCATGAATAAAATATATCTTCCATTTCTTTTAATAGCATTCTATGCTTTACTAAATCTTGGACAGGAAATACTGCAGGTGCTGTCACTGTCTCTACTGAAGGAGGGGCTTTGAGTATATGTTTGCTCTGACATGACAAATATGTTTGCCCAACTCTTCTGATATTCTGAACACAATGCTCTGCCTGTCTGATACAGACTCCAGTACATATATGGAGTTTGGTAACATAATCAAGTGTGTATATATATTTTTATTATTGCTTTAGGGGAGAGTGTGAACAGTCCCCCACTACTACATATTATGCAGGGGAGTGTCTCAAATTGGGGAAATCGCAGGGGTCAGCCCATGTGGAGTGCAGTGGATAAGCCTCACCCTGGGAACACTACCTTCATGATCACTTTCTTGCCAGGTAGGCATCAAGCCCAGTTGTTAATTATTTATGTACAAGAAAATACTTTTTTAGATGATAATAAATTCATTGTGAAATAAAATTAAGCATAATTTTAACATCAATAATAAAAATGTTTCTTTGCACTGAAAGGAACAATCCCAAAATTACATAACCCAAGTGTTCAATAATTTGCTGGTATAATGTGATATCATACACTTAAACTCCTATATAAACACAATTTTAAAAATGTTTGTTAAAATTTAACATCAATAGAGAAAAGTACACTAATCATAACTATACAGCTGCAACATGACAAACTGAACACAATTTTGTCACAACTTCAAGATTAAAAAAAATATTTTATCAGATGACATAATTCTCCTGTATTCAACCCATTCACTGTTTCTCTTGCAAAATATAATCACTATCTTAGTTTCTAAATTTAACTTATTGTCTGTAGTAGTACTTTGGACGGAGTGGCACC